CACCAACCAGCTTAAACAAGCAGAGAAACAAAGACTTTATAGACCAATATTTTTCTTGCCTTCTCAGCATGCAGAAATGCACCAAATCCGTTCTCAGTGAGAAGAGATTCCAGATATTTGGGGAGATGCCTCCTGAATCGAAGTGAGTTGTGTGCATCTTCAGAAAGAAACCCATCACCTCAGGGGGGTGTGATGTGTTCGTGGGCTCACTGTTACATTTCCACAAATGAAATAGGAACAAACCATTTCAGAGATGATTTTCAAGTGGTTGCATTCCCCTGCTCTATTAGAACTGACTGGTTGATCTTCATACAGTGTGATTGTCTCTTTCATTATTATTTTTATTCATTTGCAGTACTTTTAGAGGGATTGTTATGAAAATTCTCTGGGTGGGTAATGACAACTTGCTCTGTCTTGCTGAGGTAAGAAAAGTGTTTCTCCATCACTTTTGCTGCCATAGGTGTAACGTGTCAGCTAAATGATTTGGTTGTATCATAATGTTTGGGTGGCCATCCAAACACTGCTTACTTCATCAGGCCATCTAATTCTTAATAATCCTTGATGCAGACTGTTTTTAATGATTAAGTATTTCAGGACCTCAGAATGTGGTTTAACATATGGGGGGACACCAACACCCGCATCTGGTTGTGTAGCAGCGTGTCTGCAAAGCCAAGGCAGCCCCAATCTTCTTCATTCTAATGAATAAGTCCCCTAATAGAACTATAATACCTATACTAACATACAACTAATATCTGAGGGCATGTTACCAAGGCTAAGAGCAGTACAGTGCTAAGAGGACTGATAATGTTTTTTCAGAATTGGTAATTAAGCTGCACTGTAGTCTTGGAAACACTCCCCGTTCAAAGAGCAGATAGGAAATAGAATAAAAGCACAGCAGATACCATAACTGGTATCAAATAAGAGAGAGATTGACAGCCTTCTGTATCCCTGTTACTGCTATATGCATAGACACGACTTGTTTGTACGTGTTATCAGCATCTTTTCTGTCTTATCTTAAACTCTTGAAGGAGTTCTACGACAAAGAGAAGCATCAAACCACAATGCCTGAAGATTTGCCAGAGACATTTGAACGTTTTGCAGAAGTAATCAAACAGACTCTGCTGTCATATCAAAGTCAGATAGATGATTACTACAATTCCTGCCTTAAAGGTAAATTAATTCAGCCAAGACTTTTAATTTCACTGAAAATTGCAACAAATCAAGAGTAGAATAGATGAGTGGAAAAACTGATGATTTTATTGGGCCAAAACCATCTTTAATGCATTATCTGCAATATAGAATGTGAGGAAAGAGCCACTGACTAAGCTGATAGACCTGTACAAGGTCAAGTTTTTTAGCAAGTGTGTTTCTGTAGTCATGGGTCTCAGGAAAAGGAATGTCAGGGACAGAATTTAGAGAGGAAATTCCTACATGTTTGACCATTGCAGTGTACGTTCACCTCAGCTGAATTTTCTTTGCTTGCCAGAATTTTGGGATCAGTTGAAGTCATTTGAAGAGGAACTCCCTTATGTCTCCCAGTTGGCAGTTGATGGTCTTTTAAAGGAACACGAACAGAAGCTCAGCTATGCCACCAGTAACGTTGAGCACTCCTTCAATCAGCAGCTGGAGGACTGGAGGAGCATGAAGGTATCCAGCATGGATGCGTTGGAATGCTTCCAGTCTAAGCAGTGCTGAAAGCATCAGGATTGTTCATAGTTTCAAACTCTTTAGGATCTGTAACGTTGTATGAGTCTTGTTCGCATGCTTTTATATGAAGTGATCGGTTTTATTACTTTCTCACTATGACTCCATTGCACCTTCTTTATAGAAAATATTTCTTACGTGTTTGCCTGCAGGCTGCACGTGAGAATGAATTACATCCCTCTCTGGGACATCCAGACAACTTGCTGCAGCTGGAGGCTTTGTGCCAGCGGGAATCAAAAGAGCAAAAGGACCACGTTGATGCTGTTCACCTCCACACTCGGATGCTTCAGGTAAGCATAAAGCCCAGTGCTTAATATCAGCTTGATAGGTGTTGTATATGCAAAGGATTATATAAATTAGATCCACTTTTCTCCTGTGCCAACAGTAAAGTGGAAAGTGTTTTCAGTTTTATGCAGTGCTGTTCACACAACATCTTTAAGTTGGCAGCATTTGATTGATATATGCATGAATGCATGCACGTACAAGTGCACATAACCCATGATCTGTATCGTTCATTGGATGTACTGAGGAGGGATGGCTCATCTCTCAGTGACAGAACAGTTGCATATGAGTTTATCTGAAGTAACAGTGATGTTCTCTGGTTATTTTACTTGCAGAGGACAGGCCTGGAAGGCTTTCTTTCTGTCTGCGTTTCAATTAGGGCAGTTGGTATTTCTGCAAACACACACATACCATTTCCAGAGCAATATCTGAAAGCCCCTCTGCTCAAAGTATGAGAATTCCATAAAGTGGCCTTTGCTTTGAAAGCTGATGTTTACAAATTTCTTTTTCTACCTATTTTGAATGCTTAACCCAAATATACAACTACATGGCAACCACACACAGTACTCTGTAGGCTGTCATGCTTTACCTGAGGTCATCAGAGCATTTTAGAGCACTGCGTAAGGCACTTCCAGATCCTTTTCTGTGCCATTTGCAGCCCCATGGCTGTTATCTGCAGCTGTTGCCAAGCATCATGGTTGGAGAGGAACATAGTTCTTAGGGAGCTAAACTGAAAGGAGAAGAGATTGAGTTATCAGAGGAACTCTTCTCAGTGGTATCCAATGTCCCAACAGGACTGTGCTGCTGAGTGCACACAGAACTTCGTTTTGGCTCTGGCTGCCTTCACAGAAAAGCTGCTGCTGGAATTAGATGAAAGCGTTACTATTGATGACATACAAGCACCAAGTAAGTAATGATGGAATTTCTTGTTCACACGTGATTGCACGTGCAGAACCATTTCTTGACAGTGGTGAGCATCACGTGGAGTTCCTTGAAAGCAACAGCATGACTGCCTCTGTTTGGTTCCTCCTGAGTATATCTTACATCATCTTCCAGAAACTGAAACACCGAAGGAGAAGACATCCTTGTTAATTCCTCATAAACAAGCTGGTCTTCCTCTACAGACCCATGGGGCTGAGCAGTTGGTCGAACGTGGGAGGAGGTAATATTGGATCATACAGGACACAGTTGTATTCCATTTCTCTTCCCTAGGCTCGCATCAGGTGTTCTCCTAGCTTTGTTTTGTTTTGCTCCAGTTGTTAAAATTGCTTGGTTGTTTTGCTTTACCACTATTTATCACTTGCCCGTATACAAATCTGAGGAATGCTATGTGTTTTCCCTGTGAAAGTATGAATTCTGTTTACGGTGCAGAGCTCCTGGTCATTCTCTTCTTTTCCAACTGCGTCTCCTCTGGATATTTTTGTTGTTGTTGTTTATTTGTTTTGCTCCTTTAAGGACCTGGCCAGGACTACCCATGACCAAGCTTATGGGCGATTCAGACTGCATTATGGCCAGAGAAACGGCATCAGTCACAACAGCAAAGACTACACTGGGCCACACAGCAGCAGTGGAAGCAAGAGATGCTGTATATAAGGTTGATCGGTGGGAAAGGGCTCTTATGGGTTGTGTGTGAATGGGATGTCTGTTATTGCTGTAGATTTGTATAGATATGGATATATTTTAATATACAGAGCGGTTTCAGACCTTGAAGCAGTATTCTCCATGCATAAAAATCCATTCTTATGTCTGTATGCAATCATTTAGGCATTCTATGATTCTAGGATCTGATGGTGGGTCTGGACTTGGGTTTTTAGGAATCATACTGGATTTCTACCAGTTTTAACCTTAATTGTTGTTCTTTGTACAGAAATACATATGTAAACTTGAGCAGCAGTTAGCCCAGATCAAGGAAGAATGCACTTCTCAGCTGGTAACAATTCAGCGTTGGGGAGATTGGTGGAAGCAGTCCATCCAGAAAATTAAGCAACTGTATATGTGAGATCAGTCAAATCTTGCTTGAGTGCTTGTGTTCTACCAATAAATATCCTCTTCAACATAAAAAGAAATAAAATTCCCATGCTGCATCTTTACTGGAGTGATTGGGGGATGTAGGTAACTAGTGCATACGTGCCTTTTCAGCTGTTGTAGTTTGGCGTGGTTTCTTCAATAAAGGGGTGAAGGAATGTTTTCCCAAGATGAGAAAAACCGTGAGCTAAAGGAAAATCTAAAGCTTTGTTTACTAAATATGTTAGTTATATTAGCTACTATATTTGGTATATAGCTACTATATTTGGTAAACTAATTTTTCTGTCGGTCCCTTTGCCCTGCAGTCATGGAAACCAGTCTAAACTGTGACAATTCTGGCACATTGCCTGGGATGCAAATCCAGGCCTCATGCGTAGCAGGCAATAACTTTACCACTGAACAACCTCTACATGATTTGGAATACTGATGAAAAACCATGAAATCATGGCATCAGCCCATTCCGTTCTAAGAAGAATTAAATCACAGCATCCCAGCAGTTAGAAAGGTCCTCTGGGGATCGAGTCCAACCCTCTAAGAACGATGTTTTCCTTGTAGTGATCATCACTTTATGAAGGCTAAAAGGAAGTTTTTATTGAATACAGGGTTGTTCTGTACTGCATGCTGTGGAATTGCTGACATATTGCTGGTTGTTGTCATGGATCTTGATTCCCCTATCCCATCCAGTTTAAAGCCCTGGTGATGAGCCCAGTCAGCTTGCTGTTACATCCTTACTCCTCCCAGCCAGCCGTGGCCCATCCAATGTCAATGTGCCCGTCTCTTGAAGGTGCAGCCATGCCCACAGTGCACAAACCACAAGTGTGACACCATGACAACACTTGTGCCCATGTCACTCCCAGCACAGCCCTCAGGGCTGTTGGTGGCTGTGTTGTTCCGAGTGCTGCTCTCTGCTGCTGCCCATAATGGAAGAGAATGCTCCGCCTCGCACGGATGTTACGCATTGCTCTGCTCGTGAATGCTGTCATCTCTGTTGGCAGCAGAGCCATTCCCACAGCTCTTGGCACCAAGCCTGCTGCTCTCAGCTCGCATCAGAAATTCCTCTAATGATTTCCAGAAAGGTGTTGGGATCTTTAGTCTGCCTGTCTGCTGTAACCACATTGATCTGGTAAGCATTTGCTGACAAGTTGGTTAATGTTTAAATGTGAGTTCCCTGGCTGCAGCCGGAAGTGTGACAGCAGGTTGGCACAGGTAAGTGTATTTTTCAGGAAGTTCCTCTTCAGGTGAAAATTAGCAAAAATCACCAATCCCTTCTCCCACCCACACCTTAACGGGGAGGCTCTTCCCCACCCAGCCCTGCCTGTGCCCATTGCTCAGCAACTTAAATGGTCCCTCCTTGCTCTGCGTTGCCCACGCACACCGCTGCAATCAAAGCTGAAGGGAGAAAGAAAACCGTGCAAACTCTGTTCTGTGATTTATGTGTGGCTTGCCCAGCGTCTCTGCTTCAGAACTCATCACTGTGGCACACTGCTGTGGCTGCACGCTTCTCAGTTTTGAATGTTGCCTTGCTCGTGTCTATTTGTGCATCTATTTTGAAAACACGCAGAGCTCAGTTTTGTAGATCACTTGATGTAAACAATATTGAATCCTGATGTTTCAAGCTCAGTGCTTCCAGACTCCTTTTAACCTGAGCTTCCTGTTTATACCTTAGCAGCGCTGTATGCTATTAAAGGCTGAATGCAGTGTATGCTACACTAATGAGTAAAGAAGTTGAGCAGTTAATTACTTATCACAACCTACGCCAGATTCTGAGAACATCTTGGGAAGCACCAGGAGTATATTTTTCAGTGCTGCCTGTCTTAAAATACTTCTTTGGTATTGCTTACAGGGTCGCAGTTGGGAATTGGAAAGTGCACTACCTCCCATATTACCTTCCCTGCCCTGGAATCTTGTAAGTCTCCCATTTTGTATGTAATAAGTATCATAGATCACTGCTACAAGATCTGAATTTTGCTGACAGTACACCTGGTTGTTAACAACTGCTCTCTTTATCTTTTATTTCATGCAATAACGAGCCTATGATTAGTGTTTCTCAAATAAAATGATGGTGATACAGCCCTGTCTGTTCAGTCTGCTTCCTCTCCTGACCAGCCCTGTGTTTGTACAGCATGAACAAAGGTCTTGAGGTCTCATTTGTTGTATCATCACAGAGTTGGGTTCGTTATCAGGGTGTGATCACACACATACACCTGTACACACATGATCTCGCTGCACTTTAGGATGTGTGCATCCCAGGTTGCTGGATGGAGCGGTGTAAGTCAGAGGGGTGGGATGAAGGGTCACACAAGGAGTTCAAACAGAGTGGTTAAAAACATTGTCTCATAGGTTACTAATTTCCCTGACTGCTGTTCTGACTGTGGTGTATTTCAAGTAGCTCAGCCCTCCTGGGGGACAGGAACAAACATGCAGGGAATGAACGCATATGTGACCGGAACTGGCAGCCCCAACAACTGCGTGCTTCGCTGGTTTGTGACCACTGCACTGATAAAATCACAGACTCAAACGGCTGCCATCCTCTCCCCATCCCTGTTTTCTTCTGTGCTTGGCTGTAATTTGCCTGGCAGCCCATTAAGATGTGCACAGGCAATGCCCAATTGTTTACATCTGTGCACAGCAACTGGAGTGAAAACTGGGACTGTCTGTAAACCAGCAGGTCCTGAAGTTAAACCTGTGTCCTGTTAAAATAAAAACGTCACAGAACCTTCATTCTCCTGTTATGCAGCTCCAAGGAACTCCTGTATTTGGAAGAAAAGCCAGTCCGGCTTTTCCCACAGTAAGTAATAGCTTTTTATTTCCCCTTGTTCCTCCCTTATGAGCCTATTTTGTGTATTATTCATTGGATATTTCTTCCTTTTTACAGATTATTTTATCAGCAACCAAGAGTGCTGGCTCCAAAGTAAGCTTCTTTGTTTGCTGTTTGTTTCTTGATCCTGCATGTTACAGAGCTGCTGGGTTTGGTTTGGGTGCTTTGTGGCTCTCGGACAAGGATCTGCTCTTGGGAAGAGATTGTTCTCAGAGCAGTCAGGCACTGGCACAGGCTGCCCAGGAGAACGGTGTGTTTATGTCCCCAGAGATGTTTGAAGCATGGGGGAGGTGTGACACTTGGGGACACAGCTTGGTGGGCAGTGCTGATGGTCTGTGGGTGGTTGGACTGAGTGATCTTAGAGGTTTTCCCCAACTTTAACAGTTCTGGAGCCCTCCTCACTTGTCCCATGAGGAGCCCAGCTGTGTGGGTATGCCTGCAGCTGCCCATGATGCTCTAAGATTGATCTCAGTCACTGCATACTTGCTTCTATACCAACCGTGTTTTCCTAATTAATACATCAGCACAGTCAGCCCATCTACGTATTGCTGCCAGGGACTCTGAAATGAGAAATAAATCTGACTGTTTTCTGACTACTATAACTTCTGGAACTGCACTGTAGCTTTAACCAGTTGTGAGTGAGCTCTGAATCCATTTCAGGACAAAACCAAGCAGGTGCCTTGTATGACCTCCAGCAACACTTTCAGCCAACCTGCTGGATCTTACCCTGGAACAAATTACAGGCACTCCTGCAGACGAGTCTGGCTGGGAAGCAGTCAGAGGAGTGAGCTTGAACAGACAGGGAGGGTTTTGGGCAGCAGCAGCAAGACGTGCTCCTGTCAGCTTGTGTTTGTCAGTGGTCTCCTTTGGGCCAGCTCCCATGGCCTGACTCTTATCTCCAGCAGCTCTGCTTCGTCAGCTGTTGTTAATAAGCACACCCTGTAGGGAGGCTTTACCTGGCTGTTGTTATGAGCTGTGCTGTGGCTGAATGTTTCATGCCTCCAAACTGGAATAAAAATAAATTAATGTGCACAATCAGCCAATGTGTTTTGGAGTAAGGGAGGAGAGAGCAGCATAGCTTTGAGTGCACTGCTTCCTAATAGGAGGTGTCTGGGTGCACTAAGTGGGTGCACACCTTCATCTTGTAATCGTGTCTGTTACCATAGGAGAGAGTTTGGTGTCTCTCTAGCTGCCATTGCCTCGGGAGCATGACAGGTGGGAGACTGCTCTGGCCTCAAAATGTGACCCTTCACCATGTGGCCATCACCAACTTCATTAGCAGAGTGACACAGATTGTGGCCCAGGGGAATGTGAACAGGCGAGGGGAAGGCTGATGTTGTAAATAACATCCTGCTTAAAAAAAATCAAAGAGATGGGTAAGAAGCCCTGAAATAAAGGAAGAAGGTTGGAAATAGCATTGCGTAACAGTCACTGGGTACAATCCGGCTCTGCTGTGTGTATATTCAATAGTTCCACTTCCCCCACTCAGAAGATCAAGGATTTTCTGTAGCTGTTACGTATTTGAATGCCAGTTCATACAAAGAATCTTAAATTCTTTCTGAATATGTTAAAGCTATATATAAATAGTGGGGAAAACAACTGTCATGCCACAAGCTGTGTTTTAATAATTCCACAGCCATGGAGCATAGTTCTATAATGATTTATATATTAGTACTTGCATTTTAATCCACTTGTAGCCATGTGCACCAGAGTGATAACAAATGTGCATAGCTTCCCATTCTGTGAGTCCTGAGGTCATTAAATTCCCCTCAGCAGATAAGTCCTGTAGGCTTAAATGAGATTTTGGTGTGTCATCACTACATTTTATTTTTTTTTTACTAATTCCATAGACAGTGCTGAATTTCACCCCAGGAACTGAAATTCCATGCTGAATGACATTAAGAGCATAGGGAAAGAGATCTGAACACCATACTATCCATAAGAAGTCAGTGCTGATGTACTCTCCAGTGTTTCTTCCCCATTGGCTTGAAACCAAAGGTCATGTTTTGTTAACATTCCCCTTTTTTCAGGCGTCAGGATGTGCTAACAGTCACACCATGGTTGGCCCCCATCGTTTGGGAAGGCACCTTCAGCCCTGAGATCCTGGACAGTGTCTACATGCCATTGAATCTCACCATAGGGGTGACAGCCTTTGCCATTGGAAAGTAAGTGAACCATCTGGGGGGAATCCAGTTCTTGTCTGCTTGTGGAAAGGTACTTTGAGCTCTTCTTGTCCTCAGCAGAGCTGAAGCCTGTTCCGATCTGCAGCAATTTTTTATGTCTATGTAGAATGCCTCCTTAGAATGGTTTGGGTCAGAAGGACCTCAGGGATCACAAAGCTCCAACCCCCCTGCCACAGGCAGGGCCTCAAACCTCTGCATTTAATACTAGACCAGGCTGCCCAGGGCCCCATCCAACTTAGCCCTGAACCTTGAACCCCATTCAACCTGACCTATGTGCTGTGTTCATAATCATACGAGCCTGTAAAATAACCTCGGCGCTCAAAATATCTGCAGAAATTAGAGATGTAGAGAGGTGGTTGGGTTGGCCAAAGTGGGGACGATGGCTTTGTTTGTTGTTCTCTACCCCTCTTCACTGTGTATATAACACGTGCATCCCTGCAGCAGTACCTAGTAACACTCCCTTGACTTCATTCACCGAAGTACCCTCTGTGATCCACCATGCAGCCCCATGTTTGTCTGTACAGATACACGAGGTTTGTGGGCCGCTTCCTGGAGTCAGCAGAGATGCACTTCATGAAAGGCTATCGAGTGAACTATTACATCTTCACTGACAACCCTGAGATGATCCCCAGCGTCCAGCTGCAACCTGGCCGAAGATTTCATGTTGTGCACGTCAAGAAATACCCCAGCTGGCAAGAGATCTCCATGCGCAGGATGGAGACTATCAACCTACACATAGCAGAGAGGAGCCATCAGGAGGTGGACTACCTCTTCTGTCTGGATATTGATATGGTGTTCCACAATGCCTGGGGGGCTGAGACCCTCGGTGACATTGTAGCAGCCATACACCCTGGTTATTTCAATGTCCCTCGAAGCCAGTTCCCATATGAGAGGAGGAGCTCTTCAGCAGCCTACATCCCTGAGGGAGAAGGGGACTTCTACTATGGAGGAGCTGTGTTTGGAGGGCTGGTCAAGAGGGTCTACGAGTTCACCAAGACTTGCCACATGACCATCCTGGCAGACAAAGCCAATGGGATCATGGCAGCCTGGCAGGAAGAAAGCCATCTCAACAGGCACTTTCTCTCCCATAAACCCTCCAAGGTGCTCTCTCCAGAATATATATGGGATGACAGGAAGCCAAAGCCCCCTGAAATTTACCTCATACGCTTTTCCACAGTAGATAAGAACTACCAGGAGGTAAGAAATTGACCTCCTGATCCTCGCAGAGAGATGTCCTCCAACCTGCTGAATGTTAGCTCCCAGAGAAGGTGTCCCACTGCGGGTAGTTTATCTGGAGAATGAGAGCCTCAAAGCATTTCAGAAGCAGCAGCCAAAGTGGAAGTGAGAGTGGAAAGGTTTCTAGGTTCCTAATCATTGTAAATACAAGTGTAGCTCTGAGAGTGGAAGCATAGCAGCAGGTATACAAAGGGTGTGCTGTCAAGTAGAAGGCTGTCCTCACAGCAAGGCTGCAAATGCTGTTGTTTGCATATTTTCCTGAAGCTTTGCAGAAACTTAGGCAGGATCAAAACTTTGGCATCCCTATGGAAAAAGAAAAAGACCTTTCCACTTAAAAATACTTCAGTCACCCTGCTTTTAAAAAAAATATTATTATTATTAATTTTCACATACTGTAGTTCAAACACTTGGTAAGGATCAGCTTGCCCTCAGTGCAGGTTATCCCTATTAGTGTGCAGCAGTCACAGGGCTCTTCTCAGCAGTGAGATGCAGGAATTCCTGATGGACCAGCAGTGCCATTTCACACAGCACTTACCTTCCACTTCCAAGCTGTTTTGGGCACCCAAATTCAGACTGAACTGGCACAGTTCAAACCCAGAGAGTGTTGTGGGTTTGTTCCAGTCACAGATGTGTTATTCGCCTTTTTGCCAGCTCACACGTCTCTGGGGCTCATATAATCTTTTCCATGGTGTGAGAGGTCCACGTGCTTACTCTCTGCTTCAGTCCTCTCCAAATTTTCTGAGCATTGTAAAACAAATGGGCCAGAAGCTGTTGGAGCTGACAGACAGAGTTGGAGCATTTCCTACAGACAGGGTGGCTTCACTCCAAAATGAAATGCTCTCTTGGATCTGTATGTTCAGCTGGGAGCTGGAGGTAGGCTGGGGTTAACCTTTTCTTTGCATGAACATGATGAGAAGCTGACCCAGGCACACTGCAGCCTTCCAAGCCTGCGAGCTCATGGGGCAAACAGGTGGGGAGGGTGTCCAAACACAGGGGAACAGCTGTGCCTCGCCAGCAGCAGCTGCAAAACGGTTCATCAGCTGTGGTTACAGGGTGGAGGTCTGTGTGTTTACTCCTTGCTACAGCACATTGGCTGTGAGCATCTTCCCTGTGAGCTCCTGAGGAGTGCTGCCAGTGGGCACTGCGGGTCTGTGCCAGCCTCAAAACCAGGATTGTTACTGACCAGCTTCTTGTTCTAAAACAATTGTGTCCAAAGCTCACACCTGACTCTAGAGTCTCATTATGTCAGTAACTACATATGGGCATATGGAGCCCTTTGCAAGCCAGAAGGAGCTGTCTGGTTTGATCTCCTGTACGGGGTTAGCCAGATAATTTTATCTCCTGCTGTCAGTATCAATGTCGTAATACAGGGTTGAGCTGTGCTACATCTCTTAGAAGAGAATTCCGGCCCAACACAAACATCAAGTGATACAGAAGCCACAAAGCCATAGTCATCTCCTCCTGTGCCTTATTCTTCTCCAAGTCAGGCTCTCTTTTTGGCTGTTGGATTTTCTTCTGCCATGCTAGATTATTCAGATTCCTGTGCAGATATTCATATTCACGTCACAGTTCTGCTCACCAGGGCTGTGATTGGAAGCAGTGCCCAGAGACACCCATGTCTTTGGGGAGCAGGAGACTGTGGCTGCAGGAGGATGCTGCATTCCCCATTGTGGCACACTAATTGATGAGAGCCTGGACTTCTGCCATCACCTCCTGCTGATTAATCCCCTTCCCCTAGCACCAGGCTTTGCTTTTCGCCTTTGCATTGTGCAGCCTGAGACCCGTGGGCTGGGGGGAGTTTCACAGATCTCACTTTCTGCTCTTAATTTTTCACCAATGCTCACAGGGAAACTGAGGCACATAGTAGCAAAGCATGGCGTGGTGCTGCTGTGTACGGGGCCTGCCACAGGAGGACAATGCTGTGTCTCATGTCCTTATGTCAAGGGAATTTAGACTTGGAAACATGCTTGCTGTACTGCATAGAAAGTGAATCAGCACATACAAATAAATTATCACCCAAATTTACATTTGTCTGGGGGTCTGATCGTGCTTTCAAGGTATTTTTGACTCAAGAGCTGCTTGTCCTTAATCAAGCATCACATTATAGCTTGTTGCTTTCCCAAGGGTCCCTTGTTCTGTCTGTCTCCTTCTGCTTGACTGGAATAAACCCATTATTCATTGTCCATCTAATTTAAGAGCGCAACTGACAGCCTTCTCTCCTTGTTCCTGCTGAGGACAGGCATGGTGCAACCATCCCAAAGGAAAACCTGCTTTGGGGAGCAAGAAACAGAAACTTCCAGCACTGAAAATGATCTCAGGTGGGAGAAGGACAAGAATCATTTGCATAGAGCCACATTAGCACCTTTTTTGCTTTTTGGGTTTTTCTTTATCCTCCCATAGATGCAAAGCGAGGTTCCTCCCCAGAGAGGATTTGTTCTGATCCTAAAGGGCAGCTGTGGGCACTGGGGGTCCTTTTTGCTCACTCACACTTCCCCTGCTCTGCTTCAGCTCTCCACCCAGTGAGGGATCCCTGGGGAGAACCACGCAGAGAGCAACAGTTGCTTTCTGTGTGACAGTGATAGGCACTGGGGGACAGCAGAAACCAGAGGGCTCTGCAGCAGTGGGTTGCACTTCACTCCCACTAAATCCCCACAGCCGCTAGCAAAACTCATCAGGGCAGTGAGTCCTCAGTGCCTGCCCACCCCCAGCTCCCTCCTTCTCTGTGGGTAAGAGCGCTGCTGCACTGACTTGACTTTTCTTGGGCTATATTTAGAATAAACAGAGATCCACCAAATGTCACTGTCTCAAATCGAACTGCTGTACAGCCGCACGGATAGAAAGGCAGCTTTAACCAGCAGCCACTGCCTGCCTTGCCCCCCGCTCTGAGCCTTCAGCTAATTTACAGCAAGTCAGATGAGCCCAAAAGATTTTTTTTCCTAGTGAGTTTTGCCTGTAGCAAATTACATCGTTACAGGCCTTCTGAAATATGTATTTTCCCCACCGTTCAGCACTGACACTGTTGCTATAATTAGAAGGACTGCTCTGTAGCAGCATCTAGTGCCAGAGAGAGAGCCCTCGCAGCGCCTTTTCCTTTCACGGCTGTGCTGCTTATCCAGAGCCTCTGGTTCTGCTGCTGTGAAGCCACAAAGCCATGAGATGCAATAGGTTGTGCTGTGCCACCAGCTCCTGCCATGACCCTGGTGAGGTTGCTCCAGGGGGGGCTGCGTGCAGTGGTTCCCAGCAGCATGGTGGCCAGATCAGTGTCCCCAAGCCAGGAGCATCACTTGGCTCCATCCCACCTCCATGTTCACTTGCCCAGGGAGGGTGGCATATCTCTCACTTCTGACATCACTCAGCGATAGCACATGTCATCAGCCTCATCAATATAAACTATGAGCACTGGAGCCTCACTGTTTCCAGGGCAACCCCGCTCCTCTCAGCCTCCGCTGTCTCACCAGCTGACGCTCCATGGAGCTGTACATGGAGACTTCCAGCAGCTTTTTCCTAGGGTTCCTCCATGCCCCCATTTTGGGCGCTGGGCTGAGCAGAGCTGGGGGCTGGATACTGTGTGCACAGTGCAGTGCTTTGCTTGCATCGTTGGAGGCGTTGTGCAGGGCACAGCCTGGCAGCGGCTCACGGGGGATCTCTCCCAGCAATGACCCGTTTCTCTGCCCTCAGCTCTTCTATTTATAGCTTTGCACAGCAGCACCGTGCTGCCAAAACCCTGCAAACCGCCGCTCGCTCCACGGTGAGGCCTGAGGGGCGCTTTCCTCTGCGGCACCTGCAGCTCAATCATCCCAGGGCTGAACCCGAAGGGCCGTGAAGTGCTCAGGGCACGGGGATGAGGGTGCAATGGGAACAGATGCCTGCAACTGCCGTCGCACCCAGGAAACAAACGTGCAACCGTGGAGCTGCAGCCCGAATGCACGGGCCTGGGGTCAAGTCTACATCCACGGGGGGTTGCTGCACACCCACGGGAGCTGACGCACACCTCGGGAGCGGTTCTGCACCACGGCGGGCTGATGCGCATCCCACGGGGGTCTCTGTTTGTGCGCCCACTCCCGAGGCAGGTGCAAAACCAGGGGAGCAGCTCCGCGCGCAGGCGGACGGGCATCCACGCGCACAGCCTGGGAGCAGAAGTGCAGCCCCGCGGTTGGCGTCCTCGCGCGGTGCGGGAGTTGCAGGCACGCAGGTACCGCGCACATCCCCGCTCCGCGCCTCTCTCCGGGCGGAGCCGCCGTTCCCCGCCCTCCCTTCCCAGCCCGCCCGTCCCCGCCCCGCACTCCGCTCCTCTCTCCTGGCTGCGCTGCGCGCTCCGCGCTGCCGGTGCCGGCGGCTCCCGGTGGGGCTGCGGGGCCCCATGGCCGGCACGGAGCGGCCCCGGCCTCCGGGCAGCGCGGAGCGGCGCTGAACCCCGCGGAGCCCCGCAGCGGGACCGGCGCCTCTCGTAGCGCGGCCCGCGGAGGCTATGAGCGGGGCATGATGATGATCGACAGCCAGGTGAGCTGAGCGCTTTCCTCTTTCGGCTTTGTCACTTTTCCCGGTGCTCGCGGCTCCGCAACGACAGGGGTTCCCCTTTTTGCACCCCGGCTGCGGGGCTCGCGGGGACCCACGCTGTGCGTTTGGTTTTCTGCGTGCGGAGGGGACGAGCGGAGCCGGCAGGAGTGGGAATGAAGGAATGAGAAGGAGAGCAGCACAGCACGGGTCGGGTGCGGAGGTTGCTGCGGTGCTGCGGCCGTTCCTGGCTGCGTGCGGGGCTGCAGCGCTCAGCCAGGTGGCACCAGGAGCTCCCTGTCCCCGCTCCTGTGTTTGCGAGGCTGAACGAAGCCAAATAGGGCCTAAAGGGGCAAAAGCTCTGTGCTTGCAACTCCCGTGGTGCTTTTGAGGCAGGAGAGCGTGAACCAAAAGCAAAAAATCTGATGGAAGGTTCCTCATCTTCTTTTGGTCCTGATGCTGCTCTGATTTTATACTTTTTATTCCCCACTTCTTATTTATACTTATCCTTTATTTATTTTTACTTTTTATTCACCTGCTCTCTGGCCCTGCAGTGTAATGGGGTTGGTGCCCACGGGGTGATGGGAAGGGAAGTGGGCAGTGATAGCTCCTAGGAGTCCAGAAATGGGGAAGGGAAAAGGCTGATGCTGCGATGGAAAAGTGGGATGGGAGCCATTTTTGGGCTGGAAAAAAACATGTATCCCAAAGCTGCCTTCTGCACCAAGTGTATCTGTTTGGTCCAGGCCTGGTTTGCCTTGCCCCAGCACTGTGAACAGAAGCTGAATTAGCTCTGGTGGACGTGAGCGTGTGAGGCAGGAGCTGTGCCAGCGTGTGTGTGTGTGTGCTGGAGCGTGGCGTGTGCCTTTGGAAAAGGGCATTGGCAGCCAAAGAGCTGGGTTTGCATCCTGGCACTGGCAAGGGGCAGAAGCAAGACTGCGTGGCTGTGGGCTGGAGGGAGAACCAGAAAGCCAGAGGTGTAAAATCGTACAGAAAACGATGTCCAGAGCTCAGTCTCCCAGCTGTGCTGCGGAATGAACACTGCATTCCTATGGAGTGCATCATCCAATGTTTGCCTTCCTTCGCTGCGTATACTTACCTCCATTTTGCATGTGGGTAAACTGAGGCACCCAGCGGTGTCACCAATCCCAGGGGTGTGTGTGGCACAGAGTGCACGCCCTGGCTCCCAACGCAGGCCCTGCTGGTGGGGGTGAAAGCTTGGCCATGTCAGGGGTGCGATTCCTTCAGCCCCATCATTTTTTGTGACTACAGGGTGAGTGGAATTTCCAGCTGCACCCACAGCCGCACCCGGCCAACGTGGCTGCGCAGCGGCATTCTTCGTGCCTTGTACGTGTTCCTCTCCCTGGTTGCTATGAGAAGGACCCACACAAACAACCGAGTGCTGCAAATCAAACAAGCTGAGTAAACAAGGAGGGTTCCCCCTCCCCGTCTCTGATCTAATCGCTGCAGGTGTGTTCCTTGGGGAGTCGTAACACCTGGATAGAAGGGCTTCTGAGGAAGGGAAGGTTTCAGCCTTAAAAGCAAAACTTGCATGTGAGTGGGGTCAGAAGGTGGCTTCCAGCTGGCAGAGAGATGCACAGTCCCTCCCCAGCGTGGCTGGGCTGCTCCATCTGGAGCTCCCACTCATGCTTGTATGTGTGACCATGAGCAGGGGATGCAGCAGCTGCTGCAGAATGGATCCCAGTGTGGGACGCTCGGTGCAGTTTGTTGTCAGTTTGCTTTGTAGGTGCCTTTGGTGTGAGCAAAGGAGGGGGTTTTCAGGGCTATTTGTTCTGGGCATCCTGGGGGGTGTTTTTCAGCTCCTCACACTGCTCTTGCTGTGCCATCCCCTGTATGGTGCCTGGCTGTGGGACTGTGAGAAGCAGGGGTCCTGATCTTGCCTTGCTCTTAAAAGTGATCTGCACTATCCATTGGAGCTGGCTTTGCATCTGATACCTTTCCCATTGCTATAGCAACACATATCTCACAGAGGATGCCAGCGTGCTTTCCAAGCTGAGAAACTGATTCACCTGCCACCAATCTGCAATCCACCAGGAGCTGGGGTGGCTGACTGCCTGCTGCCCACAGCTGCTGGCTCTGGGAAGAGCTGACGTGGGCTCGCAGCAGCTGACCCTGCTCTTCCCCACCTCCTGCTTGAAGTTCCCTGGGATCTCAGGGTCAGGGTTGCGTGGCATTGTGTGCTGGGATCTGGGATTTCTCTCTAAGGGGGAAGGTGGGAGTGGTGCCAGCAAGCTCACTGAGACTGTGAGGGTGTTAGGGGCTGTTTGTGTTCTGTCTTGCCTGTAGAGGCTGGAAGTTGAGCTCCACCTGTGGCATGCTGTGGGGCAGTGGGGTTATTGGCCTGCTTTGCCTTTTGCTCTGTGTCTTTGCATGCTGCTGTCACTGTATGGGCTCAGGGACATTCTGTGGTCTGTTACTCTTCCATGCAAACCGGAGCTGCCCCCAGGCATGCAGTGATTGGTGGCTATTGGGATGGCTGCAAGGATGCCTTCCCTGTCTGATGATGATTGCTG